GACGCTGTTTCCGAGGCAATCTCCTTCGATTCCGGTGAAAAGGTGCTAAGCTTTCGTCCATCACATGACGGACATCATCAGAGCCAGGTATCATCGTCACAACAAAAATCAAGCTAACGAGTCAAGAAAACTCACCGGAAAATCCCTAAAAAGTGGTATCTATACTCTACATCTGGCCTGTTTGATCATGTATAAAGTGATTTGGTTAGCTACCGTCATATGTCAACTTTGATGCATGTGAGTGTGTCTGTCTCTGTATTAATTTGTGCCTTTTCACCGGAATCGAAGGAGATCACCTTAGAAACAGCGTCAGCATGAATGTTCCAGTAAAGCCAATCGTCATGAGGAATCCGCCGTCATCTTCTGGTGGAACCGATCCTTGAATCTCTTCACCCAACACTTCAACTCGAAACGGAAGTAAGCTCGTCAATTATGAGGAAGTCTGACTATAACAGCTTAATGGAAGAGATTAAGGAAAAAAAATCAAGTACCAAAAGGAATCACGTAAAAATGATGAGATTGATACAGAAAAAAAGGAACAATAGAAGTAGCAAAATTAGAAGAAATCAGAGTTAGAATGAACATTGAATATGAAGATTAAATGCATGAAGATGGGAAATAATAAAAACTAAAACAGGTCCACTTCATGAGGTCCGAAATGAGGTAATGGGGGAAGTGAAGAAGAAAGAGCAGAAATGGGAGCAGAACAAAAAAGTCAAGAGGAAAGACATGAAGATGAGAAACCTGATGGTTAATTGAGGAATAAAGCAGATAAGTTAAGGCTGCTAACTAATTCCAACTTAAAGGCCACGCGGCTCGAGGCAATTTTGGTGCAGGGTTTGATCGCCTCTCTCCCGATCGAGATTGTCCACGAGCTAGTTGAGCCATCCCGACAGATCTTCCGAGCGATCGTCACCTTCCGTCGACGTGGACGACCCCTTCGACGTCAGTCCTGTCAGGCGTCTTGATTTCTGATTCCGGCCGCCGGACACAACGCGCAAAGTGCATCCAGATCACATAAAGTTGGGTCAACAAATGTAATTTGACCTCGATCTCCCAACTCGGTCGTGTTGCTTGGGCGACCAAAATGAATGCCTCTTATTGAAGGAAGTCTTCTGTCGCTGTAGTCATGATGCTTGTCGGCCTCAAACCGGCGACGAACCCCAAAATTGAGACTCGAACCTGACACTTGTTCGGTCCCGGGGAGGGCTCAAAAAGCCAATCCTGCTTTGTCTTGACACGGTTTCATG